GGACTCTAATCTGGGAGAACCGGGTTTGATTCCCCACTCCTCCACATGCAGCTGCTGGATGACCTTGGGTCAGTCACAAGTTCTCCCGGAACTGTTCTCTCAAGGGCATTCTTGAAAGAGCTCTCTCAGCCCCACCTACCTCACGGGGTATCTGTTGTGGGGAGGGAAAGGGATTGTAAGCCGCTCTGAGACTCCTTTGGGTAGTGAAGGGCGGGGTATAAATTCAATCTCTTCTCTAATTTGGGACAACCGGGTTTAATTCCCCCACTCCTCCACATGCAGCTGCTGGATGACCTTGGGTCAGTCACAAGCTCTCTCAGCTGTTCTCTCAAGGGCAGTTCTTGAAAGAGTTCTCTCAGCCCCACCTACCTGGCAACTTCAAGCTGTCTTTTGTGGGGAGCGGAAGGGAAGGAGATTGTAAACCAGTTTGGTGTAGTGGTTAAGTGCGCAGCCGCAGACTGTAATCTGGGAGAACTGGGTTTGATTTCCAACGCCTCCACTCGCAGCTGCTGGATGACCTTGGGCAAGCCATAGTTCTGACGAGCTGTTCTCTCAAGAGCAGTCCTCGAAAGAGCTCTCTCAGCCCCGCCTACCTCACTGAGTGTCTGTTGTGGGGAGGGGAAGGGACAGGAGTTTGTAAGCTGCTCTGAGACTCCGAGTGAAGGCTTGGGGTATAAATCCAGTCTTCTCCTCCTCCTCTTCTTCTTCTCTTTATCATCGTGCTTAAAAAGATGAGGAGAAGAGAACACAAGAGGGTTAGGGAGGCAAGGAATCCAAATTGAATCTATCTGCCAGGGAGATCTGTGGCCAGCAGCCACGGCCTCGCAAATGCAGAGATCCGCCGGGTCCACGTGGGAGCCCACGGCTGGGAAGTGGGAGGAAAATGTGGCCCTCTGAAGCTGCCGAGGATCCGTCCAGCACGGTTTCTGCCCCAAGACCAGCAGGCCCCGGAGAGCCGGAGAGAGCAGTCTGTCACTCACCGCCGTGCTGTTTTGTGTTCCCGCTTCCGTGCAGGAAGGCGAAAATGATGCTCGATGACATTGTGTCTCGAGGGCGTGGAGGGCCGCCCGGTCAATTCCATGACAACGCCAATGGACAGAACGGGACAGTACAAGAAATCATGATCCCGGCGGGAAAAGCCGGCCTGGTGATCGGCAAGGGGGGGGAGACCATCAAACAGCTGCAGGTAAGCCCTGGGGGTGCGGGTTGGACAGGAGTCCTTGTCTCAGATCCGGTGCTCGTTTGTTAGTTCTTACACACATGCTTTCTTAAGTTCACCAGTTTGGTGTCGTTGTTAAGTGCGCGGACTCTAATCTGGGAGAACCGGGTTTGATTCCCCACTCCTCCACTTGCAGCTGCTGGTGTGACCTTAGGTCAGCCACAAGTTCTCTCTGAGCTGTTCTCTCAAAGGTGGTTCTTAAAGAGCTCCCTCAGCCCCACCTACCTCACAGGGTGTCTGTTGTGCGGAGGGGAAGGGAAAGGAGTTTGTAAGCCGCTCTGAGACTCCTCTGGGTAGTGAAGGGCGGGGTATAAATCCAATCTCTTCCTTCTTCTTCTTCTTCCCTGGTGCCTGCTGTGGCAAGTTTGGTGTAGTGGTGAAGTACGAGGACTCTAATCTGGGAGAACCAGGTTTGCTTCCCCACTCCTCCTCTGCTTGCACCTGGCTGGATGACCTTGGGCAAGCCGTAGTTCTGTCAGAGCTGTCCTTGAAAAAGAGCAATTTCTGTCAGAGCTCTCTCAGCCCCACCTACCTCATAGGGTGTCTGTTGTGGGGAGGGGAAGGGGAAGGACTCTGTAAGCCGCTCTAAGACTCCTTTGGGTAGTGAAGGGCAGGGTATAAATCCAATCTCTTCTTCTGCATTCAGTTTCTGCCAGAGCTCTCTCAGCCCCACCTGCCTCATAGGGTGTTTGTTGTGGGGAGGGGAAAGGAAAGGAGTTTGTAAGCCACTCTGAGACTCCTTTGGGTTAGTGAAAGGTGGGGTATAAATCCAATCTCTTCTTCTTCTGTGTTTTTTTGTTTCTTTGACCTGGGGGCGGTGGTGAATGGTCTTGTCTGACTCATTACTACTTAGGCTGGGGGGGGGGCCTTCGGTTACTTCTGAGTTAAGATCACGGGGAGGGGTCCTCCTGACTATCCCAAGAAATTAAAGAAGCTTGTTGGGGGGGTATGCAAGGACAGGGCCTCTTCGGTGGCAGCCCCTACAATTAAGGATCAGGCTCCCCACGGACATGCGCCTGGCCCTCTCTCACGGTCGATCTTTAGGTGGCAGTTGAAGACGGTTTTATTGAAGATTGCGTTTAGCAGTCCTGAGTTGTGACTTGTAAATTTTTGTGTGTGGTTTTTTTTATTTGATGTGTTTTACCTATGTTGTAAAGCAATGCTCCCTTTAAGCTGTGGAGTCCTGTGAGCAAAAATTCTACTTTGTGAGCTCCTGGCATTAAAGTTGTGAGCGAGCGATTTGGCTGCTGCATGTATTAGTTTGCTCTGGAGCCCTCCTTCCTTGAGCTAAGACAAAAATGTGTGAGCCGGAGGCTAAAACATGGTGAGCTAGCTCACACTGACTCAGCTTAAACACTGGTTGTAAGCCACCACAAGCTTCATAAGGAAGAAAGGTGGATAATAATTGTTTTAAACGAATTCTGAAATTTGTATTCATTTGGGTTGTTATATTGTCTTCGTGGTTTGCGGCAGGAATGATGGGAAATTGTGTCTCACCTAACTTCTCATTTTTTCTTTAATGCAGGAGCGAGCGGGAGTGAAAATGATTTTAATTCAGGACGGTTCACAAAACACAAATGTAGATAAGCCTCTTCGGATAATCGGCGATCCTTACAAAGTGCAGGTAAAGCACGCTGCTGTGTTGTTTGGCTGGTTTTCTCAGACTTCCAAGTTTGATAGGACATTTAACTGCCTGTAGGCAATAGCTTGTGTTAGCTGCTGTAGATTTTCTGGGCTGTGTGGCCGTGGTCTTGGCATTGTAGGACCTGATGTTTCACCAGTAGCCGTGACTGGCATCCTCTGAGGTATAACACAAAAAGACGGAGTACCCTCTGTGTCAAGGTTTGTGTCCTGAGGAAAGAGCTGTGTGACTCTGTCCACACACTGGGATTTCTACTTGTGTTTGTGCAAGACGGGCGAAAGTGCCAAAGGTATGTTAAATGAGCACTCTCCTCCGGCTTGTTGGATCAGAAATTTCACTCTGCAAATGCGAGAGGTGGGCTTGGCTTTCATTTTGCAGTGGGGGTAGTTGAGTCATACCACTCATCTAAGAACGTCGTCGTATTGTTTATTACTTTCACACATGAAAATGCTCTGTACTAAATCAGACCTTTGGTCCATCAAGGTCCATACTACTTAGAGTGGCAGTGCCTCTCTAGGGTCTCAGGTGGAGGTCTTTACCATCACCTCCTACCTGGTCCTTTTAACTGGAGATGCCAGGGATTGAACCGGGGACCTTCTGCAGGCCAAGCAGAGGCTCTGCCACTGAGCCAGGGTCTCGGGTCAAGATCTTTCACATCACCTCCTGCCAGGTCCTTTTAACTGGAGAGGTCAGGGATTGAACCGGGGACCTTCTGCATGCCAAGCAAAGGCTCTGCCACTGGGCCAGGGTCTCTGGTCAAGGTCTTTCGCATCACCTCCTGCCAGGTCCTTTTAACTGGAGAGGTCAGGGATTGAAAGACCTCCGCCTGAGACCCTGGAGAGCTGTAAAGAGAGGCTGTGGCTCAGTGGTAGAGCACCTGTTTGGAATGCAGAAGGTCCTAGGTTCAGTCCCCAGCAGCATCTCCAGTTAAAAAGGACCAGGCAGTAGGTGATGGGAAAGACCTCCACCTGAGACCCTGGAGAGCTGTAAAGAAGGGTTGTGGCTCAGAGGTAGAGCCTCTGCTTGGCATGCAGAAGGTCCCAGGTTCAATCCCCGGGATCTCCAGGTAAAAGGACCAGGCAGGAGGTGACGGGAAAGACCTCTGCCTGAGACCCTGGAGAGCCGCTACCCGTCTGAGTGGACAATACTGACCTCAGTGGTCAGATTCAACATGAGGCAGCTTCACGTGTGTGCGTGTAATGCCTTTTAAAGCAAAGATTTCATTCACTGTGCAGAATGTTTTGTATAAAATTCTTCCGTCCTGCAGCGTCAGTTGTCACTCCTGTACGTACTGTAGACATTTGTAACGTAGTTGCAAGGGTATGTTTATTGTTAAAAATGATTAACTTTGTGCATAATTAATATGCCATCACGTGCATGGCCTAATACCCAGGGTGCTTATAATACAGGGGTTTGCTGCTTTCTCTCTTTCTTGTATCAGCTACTCTCACAGTTCTACTTGTTGAAAACTTTTCCATTTTATAACGTGCCAAGTGGTACCATTGTATATGCTAAGTCACAAATGATGCATTTTATGTTGCTAACGCAGTAAAGTAAGCTTGGGATTGATAAGGAAGTAAGTAGTGCATATATTTCAGTGTCCCCCCCCCCCAAAAAAAAAATGTCTGTGTCCCCCCCACCTTTGTTTAAACACCCCACCCAGCCGCCATCTCTGGGAAAGTGCCGAAGCCAATCTGAAACCAGTATTCCTGTTTCTTTGCAGCAAGCCTGTGAAATGGTAATGGACATCTTACGAGAACGGGACCAGGGAGGCTTTGGTGATCGAAACGAGTACGGTTCAAGGATTGGCGGAGGAATAGACGTAAGGCTCAGTGCTTCGTTCTCGTGGCCCTTTCTTACACGCCCAGGGAAATGCTGATCGCCATTTTGGGGTCAGGAAGCAATTGTTCTCCTACCTGGCCAGGGATCCTGGAGGATTTTTTTATTCTCCCCTCTTCTGGGCATAGAGTGGGGGGTCACTGGGGGGGGTAGGTATTTGTGAATTTCCTTGCACTGTGCAGGGGGTTGGATTAGATGACCCTGGAGGTCCCTTCCCACTCTAGGATTCAAGACTCCTAAACAAGGGGCGAATTGGGTGGCTTCCGGGAGGGGCAACAGAAATCTGTTGTCCCTGGGCCTTTTCTCTTCTCGTGAACGGAACGTCCCGCATCACCTGTTCCCTAGCTGATCTGTCTTTTTAAAACCTGGTTAGGTCCCTGTGCCCCGGCATTCCGTCGGCGTGGTTATCGGGCGTAGCGGAGAGATGATAAAGAAAATTCAAAACGACGCTGGGGTTCGGATACAGTTCAAGCAAGGTCAGAAGTCCAGATCTCTCCCCCCACCCCCCGTCTTTCAATTGCATGTCAAAACACTAGCCCTGCGGAGGGTCTGTGTGGTTTCTCTCCTCTCCCTGTGCATGCCGCTGCTTCCTCTGGTTTTCTCACCCTGGCTATTATCATTGTTCCCCTAAACTGGGTCTTGGTTATGTGACCCAATGTTCCCTCTAAGCTGTGGAGTCATGTGAGCAAAAATTCTACTTTGTGAGCTACTAGCATTAAAGTTGTGAGCAAGCAATTTGGCTACTGCATAAATTAGTTTGCTCTGGAGCCCCTCCTTCCTGAGTTAAGACAAAAATGTGTGAGCCAGAGGATAAAAATCTGTGAGCTAGCTCACATTAACTCATCTTAGAGGGAACACTGGTTATGTCCCTGCTGGTGCAGAATTAGGTACCACAACACCCTTTTCTGAAAATCAGAAAATACTTTCCTAAGGTGGTCCCTAACCAAGGGAGACGTTGCACTATCAGACCCTGAGGTTTGTCTCCCTCTCTGTTTTTCATCTTCAGCCCTCCCCCCCCGGGGGGGGGGCTGTTGGAGGGAATTCCAGCCTGTTTCTCAACACAGATACCTTGTTCTCCATCTGCAGGACTTGATTGGGTTGTTGCTGTTGCAGCTTTTGGTTTTCAGAGCTGTGGAACTAGCTAGTGCTTCTGTGCTTGTAGCCGCATGCTAAGACTTTGTGGCTGTGAAACTCTAGATCGGGGCGGCCAGACTGTGGCTCGGGAGCCACACGCGGCTCTTTCACACATATTGTGCGGCTCCAGCAGGGCGGCTGGGGAAGCGGAGGGGAGGCGTGCCTCCCCTATCCGTCTTCCATTCCCCAGCCAGTGTTCCCCTCCCTGGGTAGGCTTGAGGTGGGGGGGGAGCAGAGAAAGAAAGCCACTTTAACTTTAAATGCATTCTCAGAGCCTCCCA